GGCGAATGTGACGGCTTATATGTCTGAGAGAAATGAGAGAGTGCCTCCTCATTTTATAATAACTCAAGAGGTTTTTGGCACTCCTGGACGCCATTTTATTACGAGCCACTCCTCCTCAAAATTTCCCGCGAAAGTTTTCGCAAACTCGCCAAACAAGCATGCTCAGTTCCTTGATAAAATGGCGTCGTGTTGCAAGGCAGTATTGTCTCACCTTGAAAAAAGTAGAAATAGAAATTAACACAGACTTTTAAAATTTTACCTATTGTGTTAATAGGTGGGGATTCATTTAATTGCTTGTACTCTCAAGTCCTGCAAAATCACATAATTATGAGTCAAAATGGCTTACAAAAAGTCAGTGAAAGCAAGTGCATAGAGATTTCTAATAGTTTTAGCTTCTTTTTAGGAGGAAACTGAAAGAATAATAATTCCAATTGATGTCAGATATCACTACTCATTTGAATCGTAAGGTCATTGTAACTCGTAATGAAAATACTTACTCCTTAGGCTGACAAAAATGATAGAAAATGTATCACTGGAGCTGAAACAAGACTTGAAAAAGTTAGTAGACTATTTTTTAGTTTTATTATAATATTATACCAAGAATATATTAGACATTTATTTCCTGTATTATCGTAATTTTAATAGGATAACATTAGGTCTTGTTGGTGCAGACAATCATACTGTTGTGTTTTATGACATTTGTAAAGGAATGGTCTCTCCAAATGATAGTCCACTGTCTTTAAAACGTCAGAAAAAATGAGTAGCAGTATTAATATATATATATATATATATAATGTAATTGAATACATTGTATGTATTGTCTCCTGTTTGTCACTTTTATATGAACATTGATATTTTTCACTCTTCATCTCTTGATCTACGAATGAGGATCATAATGAATGACTCATTTATTTTTAATAGTTTTATCAATAATCAATAATAATAATAATAATAATAGTAATGATTATTGCACAACAAACAAAAGAGAGAGATAATTATTATCAGAATAATAATAATTGTTATTATTTTTAATACACACTACATGACACAATCATGTTTGTTTTAAGAGTAATAATTATTATTTTTAGCAAAATAACTGGAACACTAAAAGGCTCGAAAATAAAATAAAATCTCTAATAAAGAAATGAAAATGAGAGAAAGAAAGAGAGAGAGAGAAAAACTACCAACTACCTAAAAATAATCTGAACATTACTTGAAATTAATTTAATGTAATAAAATAATAATAATAATAATAAACACATGTGTATACTACATGTACATGTCTTCTAATAATTATTTTAACTCCTATATTTCCAGCTGCCCTCCTTCCCTCCCTCTCTACAGGAGGTGGGCGGTCATCATCGGATTGTAATCAAAT